AAGAATCCATCAAAAAACACTATTAGAAATAATAAATGAATACAGTAAAGTTGCAGGGTACAAAATTAACTTAGAAAAATCAGTTGCATTTCCATACACTAACAACAATGTAGCAGAAAGAGAAATTAAGAATACAATCCAATTTACAATTGAAACAAAAATAACAAAATATCTAAAAATAAATTTAACCAAAGAGGTGAAAGACTTCTACACTGAAAACTATAAAACATTGTTGAAAGAAATCAAAGAGGACACAAAGAAATGGAAAGATATTCCGTGCTCTTGGATTGGAAGAATTAACATAGTTAAAATGTCCATGCTTCCTAAAGCAATCCGCAGATTCATTGCAATCCCAAACAAAGTTCCAATAACATTTTTCATGGAAATGAAACAAAGAATGTTAAAATATATATGAAACAACAAAAGACCCCAAATAGCCAAAGCAATCCTGAGAAAAAAGAACAAAGTTGGAGGTATCGTTCTCCCTGATTTCAAAATATATTACAAAGCTATAGTAATCAAAACAGCATGGTACTGGCACAAAAACAGACACAAAGATCAATGCAACAAAACTTAGAGCCCAGAAATAAACCCACACATTTATGGACAGCTAACTTTCGACAAAAGAGCCAAGAGCATAAAATGGAGAAAGGAAAGTCTCTTCAATAAATGCTGTTGGGAAAACTGGACAGCTACATGCAAAAGGATGAAAATAGACCATTATCTTATACCATACACAAAAATTAACTCAAAATAAATTAAAGACTTGAATCTAAGTCCTGAAACTGTAAAACTCCTAGAAGAAAACATAGGCAGTACACTCTTTGACATCAGTCTTAGGTATATCTTTTTGAATACCATGTCTCCCCAGGCAAGGGAAACAAAAAGAAAAATAAACAAGCAGGACTACACCTAACTAAACTTCTGCACAGCAAAGGAAACCATCAACAAAATGAAAAGGGAACCTAACAACTGGGAGAAGATATTTGCAAATCGTATATCTAATCAGGGGTTAATATCCAAAATATATAAAGAACTCATACACCTCAACAACAAAAAACAAACAACCTAATTAAAAAATGGGCAAAATGTCTGAACATTTTCTTGAAGAAGATATACAAATGGCCATAGGCACATGAAAAGATGTTCAACGTCACTAATTATTAGGGAAATGCATATCGAAACTACAATGAGATATCACCTAATGCCTGTCAGGATGGCTATAATTAAAACAATAAGGAACACCAAGTGTTGAAGAGGATGTGGAGAAAAGGGAACCTGAGCACTGCTGGTGGGAATGTCAACTGGTGCAGACACTATGGAAAACAGTATGGAGATTCCTCAAAAAATTAAGAGTAGAATTACCATATGATCCAGCTATTCTGCTTCTGGGTATTTATCCAAAGAACATGAAAACATGAATGCAAAAAGATATTTGCACCCCTATTTTCATTGCAGCATTATTCACAATAGCCAAGACTTGGAAACAAGCTAAGTGTCCATCAATGGATGAATGGATAAAGAAGATGTGGTATATATGTGTACAACAGAATACTACTCAGCCATAAAAAAGATGAAATCTTGTCATTTGCAACAACATGGATGGACCTTGAGGATATTATGCTAAGTGAAATGTCAGATGGAAAAAGCCAGATACTATATGATTTCACTTATAAATGGAAGATAAAAACAACAACAACAAATAAACACATAGATATACAGATTAGATTGGTGGTGACCAGAGGGGCGGTGGGGAGGGAGGAGGGTGAAAGGGGAGATAGGGCACATGAATACAGTGATGGGTGGTAATTAGTCTTTGAGTGGAGAACATCAGTAGTCTACACAGAAATGGAAATATAATGATGTACACCTGAAATTTATATAATGTTATAAACCAGTGTTACCTCAATAAAAAAAACTTTAAAAAAATAATAATAATAATAAACAAATGAATAAGAAATTGACATTTCCTGTGCTTAACTAGAGAATTTTCTTTAATCCTAAAAGGAAGACAGCAATGAAACAATAACCAGGACTCAAGGCCTGCACACAGGTCCAGATGGACCATTGTAGAGCCAGGTGCTTCTAGAATCTAGTCCCCTAAAGTGCAGATGGGGAAACCGAGCCTTCAAGACAGGGAGCAACTTACCTAAAGCTGCACAGTGAGCCGTGATGGGCTGAAAACCATGAAGAAGATCCACAAAGAGGATGTGGAAGACGTTACTGTAGATAGAGCAACTTTTTATAACCACCAGATTAATTCGCGTTCAGTATCACATTGTAAGCTTCTATAACCTAATGTCACAGTTCATTATTTACATATAGATATTTTACTGAGTTTTAGCTACATCTCAAAAATGCGTTGAGTGTTTGGGGCTGATGTGTCATGTGACATAATTTATCCCATTCAAAATAATAGGAAGTCAATTATCAGTTAGCTTGCTTGCACAGATCATAAGATTTTTAGAAGCAGATGCTGATACGAAGAAGGGGGGTTTTTTTCGCCTCAACAAGTAGATATTTTGTTATTGGGGAAGAGCTGTAATAAGGACTCTTATTCACTTAAAGTTAACTGGAGAACAAAAGGAGACTGTGTGAGAAGGATCCTGGGAACTTCCAGGGAACAGCCACTCCCAGGAAGGAGCATGAGGCAGTCAGGCCTTGGGAGCAGCGCAAACCCAGGAGTCAGTCTGCATCCTGCCTTCCACTGCCTCTTCTCAGGTCGGCTCTATGTGTTGACTTCATTCCTCTCTCTTGATGCACTCCAGCTCTGTCCACAGCTCTTGAGTTTTACATTTGACCATTTTAGACAGCAGAAGGAGACTAATCTGATGTTCTTTCTGGTCCCAGGAAATCCAAGAAAGGAATTCATTGTTTCAGCTTGGGTCAGGCGGCACCCCGGAACCCATCGACTGTTGTTAGGGAAGCGCGGGTAGAAACCGTAACTGATATGGAGGGATCGGTTCCCTTCAGAATGTGGGGGGAGGGTTTCTGGGCAAGTAATCTCATAGACATCCATGACAAGACTTGAAGAAAGAAAAACGAAATGAGGAATAACCATTGGGCAGAGTCCGTCTCTAGCCGTCAGCTTTGCTCTTTCACGAGGCACAAGAACTTCCCCCAGACATGCACCACGTGTGGGATCAACAAAGGAAAGGCTTGAAATGTGGATATGAGACCTAGTTTTGCAACTCACAAGCCACGTGACCCTGGATAAGTCATCCTTTTAGAATGGGGTTAATAAGTCCTCCCCTGTTCGCTGCTGTGGTAGAGAACCCCCGCTGAGAACTGGGTGGTTCTTAGAGAGACAGCAGAGCCAGTTTACTGGGTACAAACATAGACTCTAGAGCAGTGGTTCTCAACTGGGGTGATTTTGTCTCTTGGGGGACATTTGGAAATATCTGGAGACATTTTTGGTTGTCACAGTAGGAGGAGTAGGCTCCTGGCAATGGGTGGATAGAAGCCAGGGATGCTGTTAAATATCCTGCAATGCCCAGGACAGCCCCCGATATCAGTAAAGCGGAAGCCGAGCTACCCTGCTCCAGAGCCATGTTACCTCAATTCTAGTTATAGCTCCGCCATTTCAAAATCTGGGAAATTACCTCACTTTTTGTGCCTCAGTTTTCCCACCTCAAAATGGGACTAGTACTGGTACCTATCTCTTAAGGCTATCGTGAGGATCAAGCCAATTAATACATGAAAAGAGCTTAGGCCCTGCCTGATGCATAGTAAGTATTCACAAAATGTAAGCTGCTATCTCCCCCAAACCCGGCCAAGCATCAGAATCACCCTGAGACCTTGTTGAGTAACAGATTCCCAGGCTCTGCGTTAGGTGTACTGGATCTGAATCTTTGGGATTTGGAATCCAGGAATCTATGGGGTTTTTTGAGTCCCCCAGCTGCTCTTGATGATCAGCCAGGTGAGGGGTGACTGCTCTGAAGCCCGGCTATGCAGAGAGTAGTCTTCAGACCAGCAGCATCAGGAGCGCCTCAGAGCGGTGCCACCCAGACACCGACGTGCACGCAAAGCGCCTGGGGGCCTTGTTACGCTGCAGGGTCTGATTCAGGAGGTCAGGCGAGGCCTGAGAGTCTGCGTTTCTAACAAGCTGCCAAGTGAGGCCGATGTGCTGTCCTCTGACCACCCTTTGAGTCACGAAACTCCAAAGCACTTCATATATGCCTGTTATGGTTCCCAAGCCCTCAAAGATGCCAGTGGACCCCAAAGCCTGTTGAATGCCAAAGAGTTGAGCTAAAACAGCTGCCACTGTTTTTTTTTTCTACAACCAAAAAGCAGAGAAAGGACACTGGATATGAGATTTTTGTAGACAACCAACTCATACCACAAATAAGGACACTGAGGTTTCTTCAGTCCTGGTGCCAGTATGATCTACATCGCTTTTCCATCCTTTGGGCAGAAGCTGTTGCATATTCTGGTGTGTAACATACTCTCCCCTCTCCCCGCCAAGCAAAAGGAATCCAAAATGATACTGCAGACCGCACACCTGCATTTACTGCTGGAAAGTCAGTCACCTTCCAGACCTGAAATTAGGGATGGTGCTTCCCCTGGTGAGCTGAGCACAGAAGAACAACTCCTGCAAAGACAACAGCTTGTGCATTTCAACTGCGGTTCTATTATTTATTTAACTATTAACATTGTAGCAGCAATCATCATCATCATCCTCGTTGTTGTCGTCATCATCATCATCATCATCATCACCATCCTGGACCACAAAACTGCTCAGAGGCAGAGCCCTTCCTGAGTGTGAGGATGCTCAAGTGCAGATGGCTGGTCTAGGTGACTTTTAAGGTCTTTTCAGTCACTGACTTTGTTATAATTCATTGGTTTCTGGTGCCTAGAGGTGCCTTGTCTTGGAGTTTGTTTTTTCTCTGTTGAGCGTTTTGATAGCTGAGATGAATGAATTTAGAATAATAAACAGCAGGTAAATGAGGTCTCTATGTAAATGAGGAATCACTGTGTAATTATGGTCCTTCCATTTGCAGGTTTTGCTTCTGGAAAATAAGATTCAGGACCCTGCCCAGTTTCCACTCATCCTTTATAGGGGGATGTTCGTGATCACCACCCTGTGCATAAGCCTCAGGCCTTGGCTACCTCAAGTTTGGGGTCACCACCCAGGCAAGCATCACCCTCAACCTCCCCAACTGTTGGTGAGTGAGATCAGGCCTCAAGTCAGAAGGATGCCATGCAGGTGGGGCTGGCTTGGCTTCCGCTTATCAGAGGAGAGTAGCAAGGTATGAATGAGGATCGTCTCCAGCATGGAGAAGAGATGCCAGGAAACTGAACTGTGGAAAGAGGTAGACCGGATAAATCAGGAGACCTGGATTCTTGTCCAACATGGCCAATTAATTCTCCTGTGTTCTGGGCAAGATATTTCTCCTCTCTATACTTCAGTTTCCCAAAGAAAGGGATTAGACCAAATGGTTTCTGAGTGCCTTCCCAACTTTGACTGATGTGTTAGTCAGTTCTCTCATTTGCAAGTGACTGAAAACCAATCCAAACTGGCCCAAGTTTTAAAACAAAAAGCAGACAGAAGTCCTTGCACATATCTGACTTCAGGCATGGCTGGATCCAGCTACTTAAATGGTATCATCAGGACTCAGTCTGTCTCTATCTCCTAGGTTTATTTTTCTCTGGGTGGGCTTTATTCAAGTAGACTTCACACGCACACAGTGGCAGATAACTGCTGGCAGCCTCTCAGTTACCGGCCCTTCTCTCATCAACCTTGATGTAAAGAGAGTTTCTCTTTTCCAAAAGGCCCATTGAAAGCCTTGGGATTAATTCTAATCCCCACAGCTTGGGTCACATGTCCATTCTGAACCAGTCCTATGGCCAGCAGATGAAGTATGCTGATTGGCTGGGCCTAAATCACATGCCTTAGTGGGATGGGGTCAGGAGTTCCCTGAACCTAGCGAGCTGAGAGTGAGGACAGGGTGACTTCAGGTTAACTGAAGAGGTAATGGTTGCTGGGTCAATTAATCCAACCAAGGTCCCTTAGAACATATCATAATTACGGTGAAATCTGGGGACCACAGATCATCTCATAGACACTCTTACAACTTCTCAGGAAGCCAGGCAAGATGTGGGGATCATTGCAAAGGGCAGTAAGGGGGATGTCACTAGAGGGTGGCCAGCAGCCTCTTCTCCTTTTGCTCACCATCTTGACTTTCTAAAAGCGCTCAGGTTCTCAGGCACATGGACCTTTTCTCGTATTCTGTTCCCTGCTCTGAGCCCTCACATTAACATCCTCACTGGGAATGTGCTGTGTCTGTGCTCAGGGTGAATACGAATGTGTTGGGTCCTTACAGGCAGATACAGGAAGCGTCAAGTGATGAGCTACAGCTGAGCGCTGTCTACCTGGGGGCCAGGATTGGTGCAAGGATCCCGTGAGGTGAGGTTATGGAGGTGCTTTATAAACTCTAAAACTGTGATTGGGTGCTAATTGCTTTTAATTTACCAGGCCCACCAGGAAGTCTGTGTGGACCCATACTGCTCTGGCCAAAATGCTTCTGGTCCAGGAAATACTCCTGCTTCTCTCACATCTTTCATATCACTGGTGATGACAATGTGGGTCACAGAACTCACTTACATGGAGAAGCCATCTAGCTGAGTCCTAATGAAATGCTTAAGAATGTGGTTTGTGAAGTGAGTCAGACCTGGGTCTAAGTCCACGCTCCCGACTTGCTAGCTGCATGACATTGGGAATATCTCTTCCCCTCTCGATGGCTCAGCTTCCTCACCTGTAAATGGGATGATAATAGTACCCACTTCAAAGGGTTGTAGTCAGAAATAATCTGTGTAAGTCCAAGTAAAGAGCTTAGCACAGTGCCTGTCACGCAGAAACGACTCCATAAATTTTGGTTATTAATATTATCTTCTCCCAAAAATGCAATCCCATACATGTCATTCCTCTTTCTTAAAAAAAAAAAAAAACTAAACCAAGATACATTTTTTTCCTTTGTGTGTGACCCCTAATTGATTTTTGACTAATATAAGTTTAGCCCTAAAGAACAGAAATTCACATTTTTAATCTAATGTATAAATAATATTTAGAAAAATACACTGTGACAACTTAGATTTAGTTTTCGAGTAATTCACACTCATCATTAAGAAGAAGAAGAAAGAATAGCGAGTATTGATTGTTTCCCATGTACTAAGTGGTTTGCAGGCATGAGCGCGTTTGTCGTGATCACAGCCCCATGTACCCCCTGGAAGACACAGTACCAACTCAAGGAAGCGGACATGATTTGGCCACATTTCTAGCGTCATAGAAAGGCAGAGACACACACAACCAAGTCTTATTCCCTGTGAGAGGCTCTGTCACCTGGGTGAGGGCTAAGTATTACAGGGCCTCAAAGGGAGGAGAATTAATCCTGACCAGGGAACAGAGAGGCGTCACAGAAACCTCTGAGATTTGAACAAGGAGCAGGAACGTGGCAGATTACAAATGGAGGGAAAGGGCGCTCTTGGCAGAGGGAAGAGTACGTGCAAAGGCCCCCATCGTGAAGGCATATTGTGTGCTCGGGGAATGGCTCTAATTGTCTGTTATGATTGCAGAGTCGAGCACATGAGGTGGACACAGAGGGAGCGGCTGTTGTGAAATGAGATGGCTGGAGATTGGACTTGCCATACGATGGGCTTTGAATCCCCTGCTCAAGCTTAGAACTCTTTCTTGTAGGTTGTGAGATACCATTAAAGGCTTTTCGAGCATTACAGTAACACAATCTCTGAGCTTTTCTCAGTCTTATGTCCACTAAAAAGCAGTGTCTTTTTTCTATTCTTGATAAAAATGAGTCCCATGTGGTCATCTTTTCATGATCATAGAATTTCAGAGACCATCAGATCCAGCCCCTGCCTTTTAGCAGGTACAGAGTATATGTCCCCATTTCACGGATGAGGCAAATGAAGTTCAGGGGTGTAAAGGCCTAGATAGTGTAGAGGCCAAATTAGCATTCAGGTCTCCTGCAACCCAACACAGTTTTTCCAACATACACATCATACACTCTCTGACTGCGTGCAAACTCAATTATGAAAGAGCAGGAGAGCTATTTCTAAAGTGCAGGCAGTTTCACCCATCACTGCCCTCATTGAATAGATGTCCCTGAAGGATTGAGATGGGAAGTGTGACTCTACCATCTTCTCTGTAGGTCTTGGTCCCTTCATGCTCTTCATAGAGTGAGACTTTCATGCTTAGAGCTATGTGTATAATATTTTCTACTATATGGTTCTTGAAACACAGTGCTGTATTGTAGGATGTTTAAGGGATTATTCAAGGTAGTTTCAACAATTCCCAGTTTCTGCCTCATGCTCTGGTATGACTGGTCTCCCTGCTGTCCCTCCACAGGTCTTCCAGAGGCTACTGGTATCTGTAGATGGATCTTTCTGATTCCCTTGGTCGTCCGCAGTTTGAACCAGTCTGTCAAGCTCCTCTCCTTGGGCCGTATGTGCCTCTCCTACCCCTGCAATTCCACGTCCCCTTGGAGATCATCACACCATTCACCATGTCCCGGGTGCTGAAGCGCCGGCCTTCGTGGTAAACCTGGACGTCCACCCTGCCATGGTCTGTCTGACCATGAGTAAAAGGCAAGCAGCCTTGCTTCTCTCCTGCCCCTCCACCAAACCCCAGAAGTTTCCAGGAGTCAGGCCGCCAGGACCTCCCTAGCGCAATGCAAAGTTCCAGGCACAGTAGATGTTTGTGGAATTAAGGTGAACCTAAGTGGGACTCATCCGTTAGGTTCTTTTGGTGGCAAGCAAGAGAATACAACTCTGGCCAAGAAGCTAAAACAAAGGGAATTGGGGGGTTCCTAACAGAGTCGAAGGGATGAGCTAAAAGAAGCAGATGTCGAAAAAGACCAAAACCCGGGCAAAGCCTGAGATTGGAGTCAGAGGAATTAAGAGACTCTGCCTCTGAGATAAATTTCTTCCAGCTGTCTTCCATCCTTGGGCTCTCTGCTCAAGATGCAAATTCTATGGAGAGAGAGTCCAATCACACATGCCCATCCAGTGGGCAAGGAATGGTGGGGAATTCTGATTGACAATGCCACCAAGAACGCCATGCAGTGAGAGAGGGATGATACCTCAAGTCAAACATGGGGTTCTGCACCAAAAGAAGGGGGAATCAATGGTGGGGATGTTAATAGCAGCAGTCTACTTTGTGTGGACATCACCATCCAGATGACAGATGTCACCAGGTAAGGGTAGCTGTGAGAAACAGGGAAGAGTCAGATATGACATTAGCCAACTTAGAGAAATGGTCACAGCATCTTGAAGTACTAAAAACAGCGAAAGTTGTAGATCAGGAGGAAACTAAGTTCAACACCCAGCTCTCTATTTTTAAAAGGCTTAATCTGAGAACCTGAACAATGATCCCTGAGCTTCCTGGAATTGTGTGCAAACACGGTATGCAAAGGCATGCGTTATTGTTGGTTTGTTGTGGTTGCCATTGTTTTGGGGTGTTTTTTTGCAAGGAGAATCCCTAGTTCCCACCGACTTGTGAAAGTGGTCTGTAAAACATTATGAGTCTGTTAACAAGGAGGCTGCCCTCTCTCAGACAGGCCCCAGTCAGAATCTCCCTCATCGGAGCTGTGGGGCGCCATCTTGGTTGCTATTTCTACCAGGCACATGGATGAGGATGGAAATAGCCCCACTTTCTCAATTTGAAAAATGAGAGTCCAGAGGAAACCGTCTCAGGCATTTTCAGTTTAGATGGTGATTATGGATTCTTTCTCCTTGGAAATTCCCAGGATCTCCACAATCTGCTCAGAACTAGGTAAAAAATGTGGTTTTCTCTCACAGCCTACCATGAGCGATTTGAGCAGGGGCCATGGCCACAAAAGGGTGCACAGTTCAGTCTAAAGTTCCCCATCTCCAGGGAGCGAGGGCCCAGGGTAGGCACATTTCCAAATTTACAAGAAGCCAGAAAACTTGATTTTATGTATATGTATGTAACTTTTCCAATTTTTAAATAGTTGTAGCTAATTCAAATTGTTTTTTTTTTTAAGATGTGGCCCTCAGGTGGCCAATTTGCAACTAGGATCTAGATTTCATTCCCAAGGTATTTATGAGGGCTTCTGAGCCTCTCTCTCTCTCCTCTCTCATATACCCAAATGCACACATCCTCACTCTTATTTAAAGAAAATGAGATTGCTTGATAAAAGAGGTTTCCTTCTGTTTCTTCTGGCTTTGTATTCTTTGTTGGAAGATCTTCAGTTTCCCCAGTAAGGTGGTTTTAAGTCTATAAATGGCAAGAGTGGAACTGCTTATATTGTGAGGTTGGAATAAGCATTAATGAATGAGATGTTGAGGGGGACATATTTTAAGCTCAGTAGAACAGAGAACTGCCTTCTGCTGGATGAGAAGGGAATAGTGAATGCCCCATCTCTGAAAGTATTTAAGCAGAGGTAGGTCAACCACTCATCAAGGGAGGAGTAGTTCTGCTATATGGCTTATGAGAGGTTCCTTCCAAGTCTGAGAGTCCCTTTATTTACCTAATAAATCAGTAAAAAAAAAAAAAAATTTGGTGATTAAATTACTGAATCTAAAGGATGATGTTTTTGTAGCCATTGTCTGAGGCATTGTAAATAGTAGATTGTGGATGTCATGAAACATATCTGTGTGGCCTGAATACGTTTACTCTGGATGCGTAGACTGTTTTCTACACCTTGTCTGACTGAAATACATAACCCGCAGATTTCTCTTCCTCCATTGTTTCTTACTGACTCACCTCTAAAATTTATGAACTCAGTTGGAGGTACACTGAGTCAAACCTCTCCAGCAAGTAACCAGTAATTCATGGAGCATCAGATAAGGGAGCTGAGGGCCAGAGACCAGAGGCTGCATGTTGGGTTACCCAGAGATTGAGTTTCAGAGCCAGGACTAGAACATAGGTCTCCTGATCTCTGAGCTAGGGGCTATCATGTCATGCAGGTTACACTAGGAGGGTTTCTGTAGTATAAAAACATTTCACAAATTTATGTAGAACTTCAGAAATTAAGACATTTACCATGTCTGGGGTAAGGTTGTTCTTAACATTCCCTTATTATCCTTTTAATGTCAGTAGGATCTGTAGCGATGTCCCATCTTTCATTTCTGTTATTGGTGATCTATGTTCTTCTTCCTTTTTTTCTTGATCCAGTGTAGGAAGAGCTTTATCGATTTTATTGATCTTTCCAAGCAAATAGCTTTTGGTTTTATTGATCGTTTTTCTGTTTTCAATTTCCTGGATTTCTCCTGTTATGTGTGTTATTTCTTCACTTCAGCTTGCTTTGGGTTAAATTTTTATTTCTAGTTTCTTGACATGGGAGCTTAGATCATTGATTAGCATAAGCATTTAATGCTATAAAATTTCCTTTAAGCCTGCATTAATACAGTATTCACTAACCACATGTAGTTATTAAGTCACTTGAAATGTGACTAGTCTGAATTGAGATGTGCCATAGTGTAAAATAAACACCAGATCTTGAGAATCTAGTATAAAAAGTGTAAAATATACCATTAATAATTTTTATATTATTACACGTTGAAATAGTAATTTTTATTGTGTCCAATAAAATATAATACTAAAATTGACTCCACCTGTTTTCTTTTTGCTTCCTTCAATGCGGATAGTAGACAAATTAAAAATACATATATGACTTGCATTTGTGGCTCAAATTGTATTCCTATTGGACAGTGCTGCTCCAAATCTTGCATTAGCTGCATCCCACACATTTCAATACATTGTGTTTCTTTTTGTTCAATTCAAAATATTTTCAAATTATCCATACAACTTTCTCTTTGATGCATTTAGAAGGGTTTTATTTAATTTCCAGGTATCTGGTGGTTTTCCAGATACCTTTTTGTTATTGATTTCTAGTTTAGTTCCACTTTCGTCAGAGAACATTCTTTTTGCATGATTTCATTTCTTGTAAGTTTGTAGCTTTGTTTTATGGCCCAGAATATAGTTTATCTTGGTGTATGCTCCATGTGCACTTGAAAACAATGTGTATTCTGCTGGTGTTAGATGGAACATTCTATAAATGTTAAGTAGGTCAAGTTGATTTATCTTACAGAGACTTATTGATTTTCCATCTGCTTGTTCTACTGATTATCAGGAGAAGAGTATTGAAGTCTCCAAATATATTTATGAATTTGTTTATTTCTTCTTTCAAATCTATCAATTTTTGCTTCATACATTTTGAAGGTTTGTTGTTAGATGCATACACATTTACATCATTTAGATTTGTTTTGATAAATTGACCCCTTTATCATGACATAATGTCTCTCTTTATCTCTGACAATATTCCTTTTCCCAGAGTCTACTTTGCCTAATATTAACACAGCCACTCTAGGTTTCTTTAACTTAGTTTTTGCATGTAATACATTTTTCCCCTTAAGTTTAACAAGTTTATGTTTTTATAGTTTAATTGGGTTTCCTGTAGACTGCATTTAGTTGGATCTTGCTTTTATATCCAATTTGACTCTGTCTTTTAATTATTGTGTTTAGACCATTTATGTTTAAGGTAATTATTGACGTGGTTGGATTAAAATCTACCATCTTGCTAATTGTTTTCTATTTGTTCCATCTGCTCTTTGCTTTTCCTTCTTTCTTCTTGCTTTTGGATGAATTGATTATTTTTTAAGATTCCATCTTATTATGTATACCTCTTTTAACTGTTTTAGTAGTTACCCTAGGATTTTTAATATATATCTTTAACTAATCACAGATTACTTCAAAATAATATTATATCATTTCATGTGTAGTATAAGAACCTTACAGTAGTATACTACCGAGTCCTCCTTCCCTATTTGTCCTATTTTTGTCATATATTTATTGTTATATATGCTATAAACCCATAATACATTGCTAATTTCTTGCTTTAAACCAGGGGTTGTCTAACCTTTTCTTAAAGGGCCAGATACTAAATATTTTAGGCTTTCTGTCCATATTGGCTTTATCACAACTAATTAACTCTACCGTTCTTGCTCAAAAGTAGCCATAGACAATATATAAACTAGTGCGCATGGCTGTGTACCAATAAAACTTTACTCACAGAAGTAGGCAGCCAGCCCACAGGCTATTGCTTTAGATAGACTTTGCTTTAGATAACAAATCTCTTTGAGTAATTAAAAATAAG